AATGAGAGAGATGAAGAGTGGGGTTTGGAAAAAGAAAGTGCAGACAGAAAGAGTGAAGAGCAAGAGTGAGACAAAGGGAAGAAGCAAGACTGGTCAGTTTTTTCCAGGGTAAGGATGGGTCAATATTTTTTAGAGAAAGGAAGGATGAACTACTAACTCTCTCAGATTATTTTGGGTCGCTCAGCTCAGCTCTCTTATCCTTATGCTTAACAGAGCTGTGAAATCCACCAACTCATCCCTGAATCTTGCTTGATAATCTGTCTCAGGATGAAAGAGAGAAGAGTCAAGAACTCCTGACTCTTCTGAACTCCTGATCTTTTGAAACTTTCAGTTTCCAATTTACCAGTTAAACATGTAAGCAAACCAGCTTAGCTGACTCTCAACAATCCCTTAGCAGAGCTGGAGGAAATGGCTAGCCAGGAATGCTCTGCTAGAGGCAGGAATAGCACCCAGTTTGTATTCTCTCTAAGTGTGAGTTTCTTATAGCTTGTAAGGATGCTGTTTTATGAGAATTCTTTCCACTTCCAGCTAGGTCTGTAATGTGTTTCTATTACAATAAAATAGCACAAAGGGGCAATACAAATCTTATAAGCGGGTCTTAAAGTTGAAACGCCTCGCAATATATCCAGCGAGTATTCAATTCATTTACAGTAAGTCAAACTGGAAGATGTAAAGAGAGATGCCTGACACTTTAATGCTTCCTTCTTGAGACATACAGCAGTACGCAATCACCCATTTCATAAACAACATCTGGTGCAGCGATTTGGGATGTTGCAGTTGCTGTTGTTAAAAGGTACAGGCAGAGAGAGAGAGAAGAACCTCACTCCATCACAAATCTACAGACTACACAATCCTGTTATGGATATTCCCCACTTCTGACTCAGAGATCTGTCAGCAGCTTATTTTGTTCCAAATTTTATTGGATGAGGACACATATGGCCTCCGTTAGTTTCCATGGAAACAGGCTGCGAGCATCAATTGGTTTCCAAACATGACTTGGTTCCTTTACCAATAGGAATAGTTGATTGTGAGAAACTGGAAATTTCTTAGAACAGACTTCCCCAAACTAATGTTCTCCAGATGTCCTGGACTACAATTCCTATCATGGAGGATAAAGCTATCCATGGCTACTTGCCGCAATGGCTATGTTCCACCTCCACTGTCAGTCGGAGGCAGTTTGCTTCTGAGTGCCAGATGCTGGGAATCTCAAGTTGGGACAGTGTGGCTGCACTCAGGTCCTGCTTTCGGGTTTCCCAAAGGCAACTGGTTAGCCACTGTAAGTACAGGAAGCTGGACTAGATAGGCCATTGGCCTGATCCTCTTCTTACATTGATATACCTGATCATTGGCCATGCTGGCTGGGGCTGTAGACCAACAACATCTGAAGAGCACCAGGTTGGGAAAAGCTGTCTTAAATGGTGAAACCATATTTGTCATACATGGTACAGCCTCAGTTATCCAGATCTCTCATTTCTTCTTACGAGACCCAGTGCCTGGATTCTGGCAGTAAGACTCAAAGGCTTACTCTCCCTGTGCATATAGCATCTTGCTAAAGGAAGGGTTGTTGCCCTGTTATCTCTTACTCTTCAGCACCTCTGCTGTGGGTGGCCAGCTACCAAACCAGCAGGGTTCATTTGATGAAAGGCATCAAAAGTACTATAAATAATGGCTTGGGCTACTCAATCACAACAACTTATCACTCAGGCATTGGCTGAGCTGCTCTCAGACTGCCTCTCTCCCTGCTTGTCACAGTTCAGTTACTAGCTTGCCTTCAGGAATCATTTTACATTCCCAGCAATTTCCTAGATTGCCTGTAATCCAGTCAACACTGCCTGTGTAAGCCCGGGACTTTCTCACTGCTGGCTTTGCAATGGAAAATAACCCAAAGCGCTCATAGATCACCATCTGCCATAATTGACATCAAATTATTCAGAGTTATGAAAACTCTTTTAGGCTGCAAAGAGCTCCAAAAAAAGGGTGTAACCAAAACGGAAAGACAAGCAACAAAAATGGCAAATGGGACTTCATGTGTGTGTGAAATGATGCACACTGAGACAAAAGATCCCAAATGAACAGGTAGTGACTAGCTAGAAAAGTGCTCTTGAAGTTGTCGATAAAAACAAACATAGTGTACAGTATCAGTGAAAATGGCAAATTCTATGCTGCAAATCCTTAAGAAAGGGAGTGAAAATAAAAGGGCCTGCGGAAACAATAGATCGATCAATGGCTACAAGCTGTAAAGGTTATATAAAGGTAAAGGGACCCCTGACTATTAGGTCCAGTCGTGACCGACTCGGGGTTGCGGCACTCATTTTGCTTTATTGGCCGAGGGAGCCAGCATACAGCTTCCGGGTCATGTGGCCAGCATGACTAAGGCACTTCTGGCAAACCAGAGCAGCAGCGCACGGAGACGCCATTTACCTTCCCACCGGAGTGGTACCTATTTATCTACTTGCACTTTGCCGTGCTTTCGAACTGCTAGGTTGGCAGGAGCTGGGACTGAGCAACGGAAACTCACCCCGTCGCAGGGATTCGAACTGCCAACCTTCTGATCGGCAAGTCCTAGGCTCTGTGGTTTAACCCACAGCACCACCTGTGTCCCCAAAGGTTATATAGAGCCTTTCAAATCAGAAGCAGTATGCCAATGAATATCAGTCACTGGGAAGCAATGGAGTATTGCCTTCAAGCTCTGCTCACAGACTTCCAAAATATATTGGGTTGGCTACTGTGGGAAGCAGGACACTGGGATAGCTACCTTTGGTCTGATCCAGCATACCTATTCTTACAATAGTGGGAACTTCATGAATGTTCAGGACTCTGCCCTTCTCTAGAAATTCATCTGGGTTCAAATAGGCACATGAAGATACACGTTAATTCCAATGTAGGCAGCAGATCCACATACACAAAAGAATTCAGTTGCAGATCTGTTAGTGTGACTAAATGAACAGAGGTGCCATTGCAGACTTATAGTGCAAGCATGTTTTATGAAGAGGAGTGGGGAAAGTGACAGCAGGACCCATTTGGGAATCCAAGAGTCATAGCCCCTGTTCTCCACATCCATGGACAAAGAGACAAAGAGACAATTCATAGGTTATTTCTCCTCTGGCCATCCTGCTCACTTCTCATGCTGAATAAAGCAGCTGTCATTAGCCTAGAGTTTATGGGAACTGAGCATGAGGTCCTCTCTGATATAGACAATGAGTCAATGAGAAAGGAATCACAGGCAGCACGGATGGTCTTGGGGACATCTGGTGGCATAATGTGAAAGAAGCTGACAAAGAATTATTCAAAAGCAGCCACTTCCTTACCTGTAAGGCTCTTGGTTACCACTTAGTTCTGTGCAGAGATTTGTGCTACTTTTTAATGGATTTGCTGGTTCACCTACCAAAACCTCAACTACCAAATCTCTGATCAGCTTATCAAGATAGTTTACTTTTGTTTAAACCCCACCATGCCAAGATGATAGTAAATATCCTTTATATTCACGTCAACACTTTTCACATTCCACTTCTAAAGTCATGAGCTTTTATTTTTCCTATTTTTAAAATTTTTCAGGAACTGGTGTATTTCTAGAATTGACTTTGTGGAGGTGAAAATTAAATGAATAAGCTCAACTGACTGACAGATCCCCCCCCCAGTTAATCAGACAATCTGTGCCTACACTCTACCAAACATGTCACACACTCAGAAACTCTAGTTTCCCTACAAGATCTGTCACAAAATATTACTTAATTGCACAAAGGAATGTCTTAACTGCAATATCAGTATATATTGTAGAAGAAACTAGATACCCTTGAACAGACTGGGGTGACAGCGGAGTGCTGTATTCTTAGCCTCCTTGCAAGCTTCATGAATGAAAATATAAAATAACTTCTTTTGTGTATTCTCTAATCTTCCAACAATGTGAGATAAGACATGTACATTTTCAGAAAAGGAAGAACAGGGCTAATGACAGTGCTTAATTTCTAACATTAAATATGGTAGGCAACATCATGCCTGCACAGCCATCAGCTATGAAAATGCTAATCTCAGATATGAGCGAACTGGTTGTGGTCATGTAATATTTCACATGTACAATCATAAGGGACTGGAGATGTGCAAGCAAGACTCAGACACATGAAGGGACTGCAATTCCCAGATTATATATGAATAGCATTCTTAGCGCCTATGGTGGAATGATTCCTAAGGTAGTTGATTTGAAGATTGCAGCCTTCAGAACTTGGATTCTTCAGAGTCTTCTGACAACATAAACCTGGATATTATACTGTAAAAAAATCATACTTCATGCCACTCTCTGAAAACTGGAGGCAGAAATTTCCATACATCCAAGACATATTATTTTCTTGCAATTCACAGTGTATTGCAAGATAACTGGTGGGGAGAAGGTGTGTGCTACTGATAAGCTATTATTACAGGTCATTGTCCTAATTAAGTTATTCAAATTGCTTAAAGCAGGCATTCAGACAAAAGCAGTGGGTGCTATCTACTAAGAACAAATTCTTTATATTACTTGTACCTTTCCATACAAACACACTTTGCATTTGTATTGCTTACAAACATTATATGACTTACTAATTCTATTTATACAAACTAAAAGTGCATAAGTGTACCATCGTTATTAAGCCATTATTAGAACCTGAACCTTGGCTACTGTGAACCTATATTCTTATTTGTGTACCACACAAATAGATCTGGCTGGTATGCCTCACCATTACTTTTATATAGCCTATATTGCTATTAACGGAACATCCACTTTAATTTTAAGAAAGTGCTATCTATAACAAATGACTTGCTTATCTAAGCAGTCCAGCTGTAGCAATATAAAAAAGATTAAAGTTTTCTTACTCTGAGTGAAATTCCACAGAAATGTTTGATTTTCAAACCATTAAATGATAAAAGTCTTTTGTTTCTAAAAGTGGGACTAGTTGTGTGCAACTCAACACATTTTCACATGTACTTATCACTGTGTGATCTAGATATATAGCACATTGTTTTCTTACCATAAATGTATGAAATGCCAACAAGTTCAAAAATGGCTATTATAACAAGAGAGTAGGATGCTGCATAGGTGTCCACAAGCTGCAACATGTACATTCCACCCTAAAAGTAAACATGTAATTACTAACAGAAATGCCAAAAGATATTAGGAGATAATGTATGGCAACCCAACTAACTAAATAATATTCAGACAGGAAAATGTTTAGATTACTGCTGCTTGCCATCATGTACTAAGAAATTCCATTATATTTCAGTTCTATATGGAATCTGAGCCCACATGCAAGACCATTTTATGCATTCTGTCTCATACATTGGCAGATGCATGGTCCAATTCCTTCTTCCCACCTGATACATACTGGAATGCATTGCATCACAGAACAGATCTGTTCTCAATTAAGATGAAAATTTTTTAAAATGAAGTGGCCTGTGGTATAAAAGGTAATATTCATGATAATAAGATACTGCAAGAACGCAGATATTACCTTAATGCCAAATCATATTTTGTAATCTTGTTAAATCCCACAGTATCACATGTCACACATAAAATTTCACTTTGATCCATGCATTTTGTTTGAAAACCTAATAATCCCATGGACTTCTTCCTACCAATTGTAGGAACAGACCTTGTTGCAATAGGAGAAATCATGGGATGCAATGTGTACATAATATGGCAACACTTTTACCTGAGTGATCATAGGAAAGCCCATGATGAAAAAGGCGACACAGCATCCAAGAGTAAACAGAGGCTTGTGAGTACGTAAGTACTTTGGGAACTCATCTGAAACTGATGTCACTATCGTCTCAATAGTGGCAAACTAAGGAATATCAAAAAAGAACAAGTCAGACAATAGTAATCATACACACAAAAACACGTTTTGTTTAACATGGCATATGTAATATTGCTGCTAAAACCACTCTATGAAACAGAAACTGGTATGTAAGCTCTTTGAAGACCATCTAGTTGACTCTTCTACTCAGAAAAATGTAGATCCCTACACCAAGCTATTCCTGTAAGATTGCACACAATAATCTGCATTAACTGTGGGTTAAATAGCAAGCATGAATAAGAAGTTGCAGATGGGACAACGTGTCTAGCTGTTAACCAGAAGGTTGGTGGTTCGAGCCTACCCTGGGAGAGCTGTGGACAGGATTCCTGCATTGCAGGGTGTTAGACTAGATGACCAGTGGGGTCCCTTCCAACTCATAGAAGTCTATGGTTCTATGCCGGCCTGCACAATCTAAATAATCTTTAAAACATACAAAACTACTCAGATAGCTCTGAGTGAAGGGTTGATCAGTTCAAATGATCCACTGGAGCAATTTTACTCATACATTTGTGGCAATGGAGATGCAAAACAGTGAAGCAACATGCATTCCACATAATGCCCTCTTGCGCCATATGCCTTAAAATGGCAATACTTGATGATTGAATTGATCTCCAATGGAGACACCAGACATCTTGAAGTATGCTGAAAAAGGTGTCTACTTCCAAGACCTACCCTGCCTTTTCAAATACACCCCAAGCAGTCTTGTTTCCAAACATCATCACTTCCTCCAGCTTCATCACCAACCCACAACTCTACAAAATTGGTTCTCCTTGACCCCTGGTGGCTCTGCATACTTGGAAACATCAGCCTCCTGCTAGGACAATAGTTTACTTCATGCCAGTAGGCTTACCTGCCCCTGGTTTGCCTGACACAGCCAAGTTTGAGCCAACTGCCCTCTAGCCCACAGGTTCCCAAACACCATGTTTCCTTCCCTTCTCCTTCCATTTTGTGCACCCCTCTTATTCCCCTCTTTGAAGCAGATGTTCTTTCCTGCTCAATAGCCTGGGTAAAGGTAAAGGTACCCCTGCCCGTATGGGCCAGTCTTGACAGACTCTGGGGTTGTGCGCCCATCTCACTCAAGAGGCTGGGGGCCAGCGCTGTCCGGAGACACTTCCGGGTCACGTGGCCAGCGTGACATCGCTGCTCTGGCGAGCCAGAGCCGCACACGGAAACGCCGTTTACCTTCCCGCTAGTATGCGGTCCCTATTTATCTACTTGCACCTGGGAGTGCTTTCAAACTGCTAGGTTGGCAGGCGCTGGGACCGAGCAGCGGGAGCGCACCCCGCCACAGGGATTCGAACCGCCGACCTTTCGATTGGCAAGCCCTAGGCGCTGAGGCTTTTACCCACAGCGCCACCCGCGTCCCATTCGCTCAATAGCCTAGACCTTCTCAATATGACTGGTATTGTTGAGAGACACCAGTAAGGAGGAGTAATACTAATTCAGTTTTCTAGGCTGTAAAGCACGATCCTTACTTTCAAGTAAGCACCACAGAGAACACTTTTGAGCAGAGGTGCATGAGACCAACCTTCTAAGGCTGCAGTCCTATGCATTTTTATCATTAATATTGGTGAGGCTTACTTCTGAGTAAGTATGCATGGAATCAGCTGCATGACACCTCACTCCCCCACCCTTGAAACAGAAGTCTTCTTTCCTCCTCAGCAGCCTAGATACTCTCAATATGAGTGGCTTCATTGAGAGACACCAAGTAAGGATGGGTAAAACCAATACAGCATCTAGCAAGTAAGGATGGGTAAAACCAATACAACAGGGGGAAAATAATTAAGACCCTCAACAATTTTCAGGTGGTCTACGGAATGAAGGGGGTTTGGGAACCACTGTCTAGCCCCTTCCATGAAGTGAAAACCTCCACTTTGATTTTGGCTCAAGTTTGGTCGCAGTATGTGGGTCACTCTCTTTACAGGTCTGCCTAATTAACACCTTTCTGTTTCTTCTTCCATCCCAAAGGCAACTTGAATGTGGTAATTAACTTCTGTATGGCTCCTGCTGTGACATATTTTCACCAAGGTCAATTCTAGTACTGGGGTTTAACCTCAAAATCAGTTTTGGCTCTAATCCTACACACACTTACCTGGAGCTAAGTCCCACTGAACTCAGTCGGATTTATTTCTGAGCAGACATGCATACAATTGTACTGCCTGTATGTTTATTTTGCCTAAAAACCTTGGGTATGTGCTAGGCTCCTGCTTGTAACCAGTTACGTTAAAAATTAGTCAAAGATGTACTCTTTGGTCCTGTAACAGTCAATAGCAAGGTAGGTGAAAGAAGGCAAGTTTACCATGGTGTCCAAGCCAAGTGTTAGAAGCATCAAGAAGAAAATTATAGCCCAGAAAGGTGAAAGAGGAAGCCTGGTTAAAGCTTCAGGATATACTACAAAGGCAATCCCAGGACCTAGAACACAAGAAACTAATATTTATCTGTTGATTGATAATAATGATGATGATGATGATGATGATGATGATGATGATGATGAAAGACATCCACTGTCCCTCATTAATACTACTGGTTTTAATTGTGGCACAAACACAATTCCTTTTTCAGTGAAAAGCCTTCTTCATTGTCACTTTGTGTTTTATTTACAGTAGACAGATTCCCCTTCCCCATCAGTTTTTTTGCACAACATTGTAATGCAGTAGAGCTGGTATAATTCAGCAGTAAGAGAGTTAATTTAAATAGGTACTTCACAAAATGTTTGGGAACTATGACAAGCATTAAAAGAATTGTTGGTTGAAGATTATTTTTATTTCTGTGATGTGATGCAAGCAACTCTCTTTAAAACCTGCTGCTAACTGCCAGCTTTTCTGGGCAAGAAGGCTTAGGGGACCTTTATATATTCATAAGCATGCTCTTTCATCTCTTGATTAAAGATTTCTTCTTGACTACTATAGATAAGGCGGCTGTTTGCACTAGCTTCTTACATGTGAAAAGTAAATTAAGGAATCAAAATAATGAGTTTCTAAAATTCATCATGCCCTCTGGGAACATTTAATTGCAGAAAATGAAATTTCAGATCCCCCTTGATTTGGACGCCCCTAAATTAATGTCAGGCAAGAGTTATGGCCACTAAGAGTTGGGCACACATGAGAACAACTGCTGAGTTTCAGAAGTAGAACTTGCTTCCAGATGAGGTCAGACAGGTCCCCTCCCTGTACTTACTGAATCCTTTTTATTCCAGCAGACTTTAATTAGGATTCAATTAAAGTTATAAAGGATTTTATAACTTTAACTCATTTTTAGTCTTATTCTATTGGGTCTTTTCTACACTGCTTAGAGATAACTGTGATTAAGACGTATACAAATTGTTTAAGTAAACACAAGTCTCTCCAGTCTTGTTGGGCTCTGGTTTCCATCAGTCTCAGCCAACATGGCCAACAATCAGGGGTGGTAGAAGTGCCAACGCAACATCTGGAGGGCTACAAGTTCCCCAGGCCTGTTTTAAGGGGTGCGTAACCCCATCCTTAACAAGCTGAAACTCTATCCCTGGACAGGTAAGCCTTTGACTAATAGCACCTCGTCTGGATTTAAGTTTAGTTTCCTTACCCTCATCTAGCTCATCACTGGCTCTAGAGCCCAATTCAGAACCTCTATGGCTAGATAGGAAACCTCTGGCCTGTGGGCTAGATGTGGCCCTTGGAGAATTTCCATATGGCCCTTCAGGGCATGTCCTCCTTGGCCCACACCTGCAATTTACATCTGAAAATAACCTCCTGTTAAGAGCTTTTTTCACTCATGCAAATTGTATGCCCAGTCCAGAATGGGATCACAGAGGGGAGCATATTATTAAAACCATCCTACCTCCTAGGCCAGGGTCTTGATCCAGAATGGGGACCTCCCATATACAATTTGCATTGCAGAGAAATCTCCGAGTTACTCCAATAGGAGTTATTTTCCCCAATATACAAACGGGGGCACAGTAAACCCAATCGAGACTGGGATCCTGTGGTAGTGCCCCCACCCCACTATTCTGAATAATGTACATTTGCAGGCTGACTTGCAAACCATGCTATACCATTCATAAATTGAAACAAACTCTCATACCTTGGTCGGCAACATCTTCAATGTCTACTTTGAGCTCATTTGCCATAAAACCAATAACGGAGAAGATGACAAAGCCTGCAAATATACTTGTGGCACTGTTGGTACAAGTTACTATCAAGGTGTCCCTGAAGAAAGAAAAAGATGAAAGAAAATACGCACAGTAGAAGTGATAGTGGATACATAGATAATAATTTATCCTTTGTGGGACACCAACTCTTAGTAGACACAATACAAAAAAAATACATATTTTAAGTGAAACAACAACATCCAAAAGCTTTCTACTAATAAAAAACATTCTACTAATATGGAAATAAAAACTTACAAAGTGGTTAGTGGCAATAATTAACTGATTCCATCACAAAAATATGATATTTCAAAAACTATGGGAAATGATAATTGTGATCCCACCACACTATAAAATACCTATTGGTTGAACAAATTGAGTTGCTCATTCTCCCACACATACATATTCTTAGGATGGCAAACTTCATGACATCTTTTTGAAGGAGAGATAATACATGGTGATTCATAATGAAGTATACAGTTTCCAGATGCTGTAAGACAGTAACAGGTGACGACATGAACCACAATTGCGAACCGTGAGAAAGATGTACTCATAAAGTTTGTGTTCTGCTACTGAGGGAAATGGTGTAGGCAATAGCGCACATGTCATGTGACTAGCCAGGCAAAATGGCTGCATCTGCAGTAGAGAAGGTGTTTTGTGTTCCTGAATTGAGCGAAACGGAATCTGTAACTGTTGTGTGACGGCATTTTCTCCAAGCAGAAAATGTACCTACAATTGGCATGAAAAATTTGAAACATTTTTCTGTGGGGGTACATAAAGGACAAGGTATTCACCCCTCCCCTTCCTATTGATTTAGCGGAGCTGAAACAGCATATCACAGCCACTATCACTGCACTTAATTCAGATATCTTAACTCGCATTTGAGCAGAAATGGATTACCGGCTCGATGTGTGTCATGTGACATAGGGTGCACACATAGAACATCTGTGACAGTTTCTGAAAAAACTTTAAACATTCCCCTACAATTCTATTACAGGTAACATAAGATATATTACATTCTTCATCTTCTTTATAGTGTGTTGAAACTGTATATTTCATTATGAATCACTCTGTATTATTACCATATCAGACCAAGATCATATTTGAGCATTTGGGCACATATGCCTAAATGTGTGGCTTATATGTGGGTGGAACAGTGTGGTGTAATAACTATTTTTGAATGTTTGAGGCCCAGGTTTGAAGGCGTATTTGAACAGCTATCAACCTCCCTGACAGCTTTGATGAAGTCACTGTCTCTTTCATAAGCTAGATTCAAAAACAAAGTGTTCCTCTGAGCAGGAAGAGTGAAAGACAAACAAGGTGATAAAAGTTGGAAGAAATGTGGCATGTTTATACAATTTGAGCACTGTTTTAGGAATGGGGGAAATCAGTGCTTTTTTTCTAAAAAAATGTTTAGGGATACTCTCATTTTCCTACTCATATTGAAATACTGCCCCTCAATGGGGCCAAACTTAGATTCACAAATTGTTTAGGGGTATGCATCCTCCTCCGTCCCCCCCAGAAAAAAGCTCTGGGGAAAATATATCTGGAAAGAATTTTACATTAGAACAAGACAGTGAGCTATCCTGGAATAACCACTAAGCAACCAAAGTTATACTGTTATGTACCCAGTGGTCTGTGTTGCCTGAGCTTGAGTCTGAACTAAGGATTCTGAGCCCCTGTGTTCTGATTCGATACATGATATCCAATCACAGAACACTTCAGGATTTGGACCTCTGCCATTGGCCCTTAAACTCTGAGTTACAATTCGCAGCTTGGAAGTTTAGACAGCCAATAACGTTGGGAGTGGGAGTGGCCCAGGCCTTCAGAAATGTATATAAGCAGTTGCTTTGCCCCTGTTTGTTTAGTTCTGTTAGTTCAATAAAGGTTCTTGCTGTTATCACTGTGTCTTGCGTCCTGAGAACCCACCTACACTTCATATACCCTGGAGAAAATTGCTACTTTTAAGTCCTTGGCCCTTCTTTTAAGGCTAACACTCTTGCTGTTTATGAGAGATTGACACTTACAAAAATATATACTTACACTGACTAATGAGCAAAGTCAGTATTCTAGTGCCCCTTACAAAATTTAGGGTAGTAGATTTCCTCCCTTCCCTTTCAATATTGCAATGAATATTTCCAGGGAACCTGGGGCCAATTTATATTGCAGCCATGTGTTCAATAGCCTCATCAGTGTTGATACAGAGAGGGCTGGAGGAATTGCTCCATGGATGCCTGCAGCAACCGGAGATGAAAGGTGCTACAGGCACTTGTAAGCTTTGGACATGGGAAGGCTCATTTTCAGGCAGATAAATGCATACTTCAATAAAGTCATAGCTCAAAAATATAAATGGAGTGATTTCTTCCAAAATAATATCAAATAGTTTTCAGTTTCAATGTCATTTGTTTATCAGATGATGAAAAGAAATCTAGAAACCTGCCATAAAAAGCACCCTGCAGTTCCTGAAGACCTCTAAGGAAGACTTCCCTTAAGTAATCATTTTTTCCTTCTTGCTGAGACTTGATAATGCTAACTATAGAAACAGATTGCTGTGTTCTAACTTTGTTCTAAAGGAAACTTTCCCCCCCCCTGGCTCTGGATCAGCATCAGACGGAAATACGGCTCACTAAGAAAGCTTATCACTCTCACAGAATTTTAAGCTGGGGTATGTGCTGTAACAGATTGTTACAAATCCAAGATAATTTTTCAGTCTGCACTGAAATGCACTGAAGGGGGAAATGTTTAAAATAAAATTTAGCTGTACTGAGGTAAATTATGACATAAAAGCCACTCTACAGCTCTCCTGCTCCTTTTACTTCAAGATGTTTACTTCACAAACAGGGATAACGGGGGTTGGAGGCTTTCTTTTCCACTAATGTCTCTATTTCTGGGGGCCTTAATGTGGCACCTTTGGACACAATTGCAGCCACAGAGACCTACCAGGTTGCCCATCAAGCTCTTTAGCCCCCCCTCTGGACCAATTATAAATTATAATGGCCGCACAGTCCAAGTTTCTCTTCACTCTCTCCCATGTTGTCTATGGAGGCCCTGCTACCATTTTGATTAGTTAGCACACTTGGAAAAGAGGAGAGAAAATAGCTCACTGCTGGTGGCATCCAATTACAACTGTTGACTCTCCCTTTCTCTGCAGGTAGCATCCAATTAGAAGAGGGAGACCGGTTCTAATAGGATGCTACCTGCAGGGGGGCTTTTTGACTCTAAGGAAAAGAGACAGCAAGAAGGTGGGGTTTTTCCTATAGCTGAGTGCAAAAAGGAAACATAGGTGCTGAGAGAAGACTAAAAAAAACAAAAAAACCAGAGCACCAGGGGTTGGAGGGGGGGTGTCCATGTGCGTATTGTTGACACATGGAGAAAAACATATGGCGTAAGGGTAAAGTGTGTGTGTGTGTGTGTGTGTGTGAGAGAGAGAGAGAGAGAGAGAGAGAGAGAGAGAGAGAGAGAGAGAAATCTCGACTTCTCTGAAATTGGTGGTTTGCTGGTTTGCTTTCTGTAAAAAATGTGTTAGAGAGTAGAAAACTGTGGGTCAAAGTGGACAATTTTGTATTTGGGGGCTCAGACTATGCATCTGTACTCATTTTCATGGGCAAGTTACTTGATCTCAAGTTCATTAGTTTGACATCTGTGGAATGGGTGTTTTCTGACTACTCACACCAACCACAGCAGCTATTTTGTGAGTGGTCGTACCTCTGTGGCAGCCATTTTTATCATGTCAAATACATTCTCAATATTCCAAAAGTGCCCATGGGCCCCCAAAGGTTGCCAAGTTCATACACAACACTAGCAACTGTTCCCATGCTTCTGTAGGAATGCATTCACTGGGCCTAAAACATGGCACATAAAGATGATTTCGTTAGTGTCCTTTAGGTCTCTTCTCGTATACAGCAACACATTTCTGTTTCTGATACTGCTAATTAATGCTCTGGGCTTTCCAAAATCAATGGATAATTGTAATACATTTACCTAATTCTAGGCACCAGTGCATACCCTCCTACATTTCTCTGATGAAATAGGGATGTCCCATTCCATAATAAGAATTTTACTATTTATACCCCACACATCTTACTGGGTTGCCCCAGCCACTCTGTGCAGCTTCCACCATATATAAAAAACATACTAAATCATTTTTTAAAACCTTCCCTATACAGAATTGCCTCCAGACAACGGGGGGGGGTCGGATAACTCCATACCCCCTAACATTTCCCCATTGAAAATAGGGACATCCTAAGAAAAAGTGGGATATTCTGGGATCAATTCAGAAACCAGGATAGCTTCTCTAAATCAGGGACATCCCTCGAAAATAGGAACACTTGGAAGGTCTGCCAGTGACTTTCCAGAAGGGGGAGAAGAGAAAAAATGTTTCACGTTCAGCTCTAGGTTAGGATTGGGGAGTCTGTGTCCCTTTATATGTTGTTGAACTATAACTCCCAAAATCCCTGACTGCTGACCATACTGATTGGGGGCGATGAGAGTCAGAATTCAACCACAAGGACAGCCACAGGTTCCTACTACCAGCTATAGGTCTTCAGCACCATGATACTGGTAGGTAGATTGAAAGTGATGGCTGCCAATTCATATGAAAGCAGGTAAGTGGAGACTGTTTATAATGTAACATGACCCTTCCCAACAGCCATGCTTTCCCCCTTGAAATGCCTTCTCCCTGGCAGGGGTTACTTCTTGTCTGGGAACCCCATGTTCAGGGGGGATGTCTGCAGCAGAGCAATTTTATGGGGAAACAAAGGCAGGGGAATAGCTTGGCTCTCTTCTCGCACCCACACGTGCTGCACAATCTGGCTCTTACACACAGGTCAGCTGCTATGACATCAAGTTCCATCCTTAGACATCAGAAGGACTTATCTGGCATGGGTTCTAGTAAGTGTAAAAAGCAAGAAGTGTGTGCAAATGTCTAGTTAAATAAAACATAGGCTCAGGATCAAAATATAGACAGGGTGGACCCAAGACATAATGCACTATGGTTCCCCTACACCTGAATGTCCCAGTCATATTGTGGACTGTATGCATGGCTGACACTCTTCACTCAGATTCTCTTCAATATGGGTTTGGTATTTTTTTTAATATAGAAATGAGAGCATTCAGTATAGATAAATTGGTCTGCTTAGACTAGGGAGACTTGAGATGCCTCAGACGAGTCACTGTCTCCCTGCCCAACCTCCCCCACAGGCTTGTTATAAAATGAAATAGGATAAGCCCCATATATATACCCTGGAGCTTCACACCAGTGAGACTTAAACTAGTTGATGCTTAAATTACTCTACAATGAAACCTGCAGCCTGGAATATATCATTGTCTGCATGCTAGTCTTGCATTGAGAGCAGTGGCAAAAACAGTCACAAGAGAAGCTAAAATGTCATTTGGGGGCTGTAATCCTAAATTCACTTACTGATAAGTAAATGAACTCAATTGGGCTTCCTCTGGTGTTGATAGGCATAGGAATGCATGGCTGTATCATGAGTGGAAATAGCAGAGCCTCAAATTTAGAAGGCTCAAAGATTTAGATTTTGCTGGCAACAAAACTCTCAGTGATTATTTCATCAACATGCAAGCAGCAGCCAAGATACCATTGATCATGACTCCCCAAAAAACAGAAAAGAAAATGGTTCTAACAGTCATTAGAAAGCAAATCTAATGAGACTTCAAGAACTCTTAAGTACAGCATTAATTACTTACTCCCCAGGGAAGCTCATACAGCCAGTTCCATTGCAGTTTTCAAGAAAATCATAGCATTTTGGAGTGGGTGGGTTTTAAATTGCTGCGTTGGCTGCTGGTCAAAATTGTTTTTTATATTGTTATGCTGCCTTTGCTACGGCTGTGTTATTTTTCTATTTCATTTAAAGATGATGGGTGTTTAAAGTATCTTACTTATGAAGATTAATTTGATGTCTGAGACTTCTTTTGGGCATAGGGAATAACGTCTAAGAAAACATAATTTACAATTCCCTTGACAGAAAAATGCTGACTGACAGTGAGACCCAAAAAGAAATCATGTTATCAAATGATAGGGAGACAGTCCTTCCATAAAATCCAGGTTGTCATAAAACTGATTCTGAAAGACCAGACTAATTATAGTGATTCCTTCTAACAGCTATGAAGCTAGAATCTGCATACACAAAAGTAAATGTCACTTAAAAGTAAATGCTTTAAGGAAGGAGAGAGAGGTAGCTGGTTAGGAAGGGAAATCATAAGCTTTTGCAGAGAGATCACTACTCTTCTCTTTAAAATCCTCTGCAAAAGATGACAGAACTAGGGCATGTGTTAAAGAAGAGTGCAAGAAAATCAGATGGTGCAGGCTGGCCCCTAGGCTAAAAAAGCACACAAAAGGGCCTGTCAGTTCTGCTTGAACATGCATGTACTGTATATTAATTCTTTAACCATTTTGATGGTTAAAGCAGCATAGCACCAAGAGTTGTGCCTTCCTTATGAATTATTTGGAAGCACATAATGTGCAGAATATAGGCATCCAGGCCCAATTGGTCACTTGGATAATAAGCCACTCTCCCCTACATCCTTGTGCTTTCTCTGCCCCGATCCAGACCCTTTAAAGCAGCTTGAGAGGTGGCACAGGGGGCTCAGAGAATCTGCAAAAACTGCCTCCCTTCTTTTCTTCATGAGGTCAGGGAAATGGGAAATGAAACGCTGGGAAAACAGAACGCACCGCCATGTGAATGCAGCCTATGTGACAAGCTTTCTTGAACTTCGAGTCCCAACATTCCTTCAGCTTGAGCGCATTTTTATAGCCAAACCCAGCACAGTAGCTGTTAAAGAGTTTTAAATTCACTTTAGACACATTTCTCTGCCCTGGAATCTAGTACCAGTTATTCTATGCATTCTGGAGACCTGTTGCCTACCTTATTTGCTCACATATTTTCTGAAGCCATTCAGTTCTATCAGCAGCACTGACATTTGACTGCAACATTCCCAGCATTACGTTTTTGTCACTTTCCTAATGTCACACTTTTCTGACTCCTGCTGCCTGTTGTTCAGAGAAAATGCAACCCAAGCAACCAAATGTTCAGCTGTGCCTCCAAAACTCCCTCTTGGGCACATGCTACATCTTTATGAGCTATTGTTGGGGTTGCTGGTTTCTACTGTTCCTTCCTCTTGCATTTTGAAGCTGCTTCAAATAGTGGAACACTTGGAGTAGGAATGTGTTGAATAAATAAAGCAATCAATCAAAACCAAATATGGAATGGGCCTGTATTTATAAGAGAGCAAACTTCTCAGCTCTGTAGGAAGTTACCCATTACCTTTAATCAAAGCTTCCATCTTTAGTTTGAATTTAGAGAGCTTTTCTTAATCTTAACTAGGTGCTAATACAATTTCAGGAATAATCACTGTGCTCAGTGATATAACAACAGCAGAGGTGATACAGCCATTGCCCTTTTGGAAACTGCAGATTACCCTTTCTAATGCAGAGTGCTCAGAGCACAGCTGGGTTCTGACCTATTTCTAAATCTCCAGGCTTTCTCCGGTAGAGATTATGCTTGTGTTGTATTTCATGCTGCCAGCCCAGGTTCTTCCTGGCAATTCCCGAGGTTGCTTTTCAACCTGGCCTATTTTTAATCAGGGCAAGCTTTCAATAGAAAGTAGGGCACACCAACCTCAGAAGGAGCCCAGTGGGTTTTGAGGACCTGCATCACAGGTGATGGAGTGTTTCCATTCTTGAAAGAAATTGTGCTTTACAAACAATGTCATAGCTTTCATGGCCACAGAATCAGGCACATTTTAGCCAAACAACAGAACTTCTGGGTCCTGCAAGGTCCAGAAGTATTGTGTGTTGTTGGCCTTACTGAACTGTACTGAAGGGAGAGGGACCACATATTGAATGCCTTGCAACTTCCAAAATTCCCTCCCTAATGGAGGGTGGCATATCAGGAAGCAGGGCTCTCCCTGGCATTCTAATTTCTTATGTACAGGAAGTTCCCTCCTTGACCTGCCCCCACATGAGGTAGCATGCAATTCTCTCCACCCATTTGATATAGTTCTGCTATGTGACAGTTTTGAATGCATAGACTGGTTTTATTACTGATTGGGTATATCCAAATCACCCAATTTTCTTCTTTCAGTGGTCTGGCTGTGTCAAATAATTAGGAACCACTGGTAATCCTAATTACTGTTTAAAATTCATAAACAACGCCAAGCTAATTTGTAAGGATCTAAATTATATCCATAAGTTTCTGGAATTAACAGTGCCACTCAGTTGCCATACAGCCATTGGGTTCATGGAATCATTCTACTTACCTGTACAGGTTGTTATGAAATTTGTTATAGGAAGACAAGGTAATCAGGCCACCCCATGCAGCAGACAAAGAGAAAAATATTTGAGTGGCAGCATCTTTCCACACCTTTAAAAAAAAAAAAAGTCCCATGAAGAAAATGAGCATCAACTTCAACAAACATTTTTCAGCAAGTTATTTTAAAAATCAATAGTGCTGTTGACTATGGGAGCAATCCTATCTCAAGCTACACCAGGATGAGTGGATTAGGATCCAGAGATCTCCAGCTGAGTCAGGAGGTTCCTGTCACAGTTGGGTTATGGAGGCTTAACTCCCTCATCTTCGACTCTGCTGGAGAGACATTAGTATATTTTCCAACCAGCTGAGCCCACCATGAAGGATCTTAAATTGACATAAACCCCCACAAAGGAGTATGTTGGGATGGGACCAGAGGGCTAGGGTTATTTAGGCTTAATTCTAAACCCATTCTGTATAGTCATATGACCTGGCAATTTGGGCATAGCCAGGATTTTTATTAGGGAGAAAAGAACCTTAGATTTGCATTGATTTGTATTGATTTGGAGGGGGAGCAGCTGCCGCCCCCCCCCCCACTATGCCCTTGCCTGGCAACCTAGTATAGGTTAAACTGGCAAAAAGGATGGTATAACTCAAACTTTGTTTTAAAGGCTTTGTTTCCCTCTGCAGGTACAGGCCAGCTTAGGCAGCAGTAGCCTTGTTGCTGAATGGAGTCTGAATCTGGTGTAACATGACACCAGCTAAACTCACACTGGCTTGGCTTTACACCAGTTTCTTGTGTACAGGATTGCTCCCTACAATTCAAACTGATTGTAAAAGAGCCCATATAAAAGTGGCACAGCTCACGGCACAAGAAGAAGCAGGCTGCTCCAAGCAGTAGAATTTATGGGATTGTAGGAAATACTGTAATACAAATTACTACTGCAAAATGTGATGATGGACACACACAGGCACAAAAATGGATTAGCCAAATTTATGGAATTCCTATTGTTGTTGGGACCATTACACTGGAGCAGATACGCCTCGGACTGATCCAACAAGGCAGCCCAAATGTACTCTAAACCAGTGTTTCCCAACCGGTGTTCCGCGGCACACTAGTGTGCCGCCAGACGTTGCCTGGTGTGCCGCGGGAAAAATTGGCGGCGGGGGGGGAATAAAGGGGGAAAAATTATTCCCCCACCGCCAGGCGTGGGGCTGGGGCGGGGGAAGCCCGAGCTTCCCCCTCCCCCAGAACGGGACCCAGAGCCATGCCGAAGCTGCGCGCAGCTTTGGCATCGCTCTGGGAGCTTGCGGGGCTGGGGGAGGAGGAAGTCCTCCGCCAGCCTCCAAACCATGTCAGGAGACAGCGGGATGGCGCGCTGCGCCTCTCCCGCTGTCCCCCGAGTTTGCAGGGCTGGCGATGGGGAGGAGCAGGCTTCTCCCCCCGCCAGCCTTCCAGCCAAGTCGGGGGGCAGCGGCAAGGGCGCGCTGTGCCTCTCCTGCTGTCCCCCGAGTTTGCGGGGCTGGCGATGGGGAGGAGCAGGCTTCTCCCCCCACCAGCCTTCCAGCCAAGTCGGGGGGCAGCGGCAAGGGCGCGCTGTGCCTCTCCCGCTGTCCCCCGAGTTTGCAGGGCTGGCGATGGGGAGGAGCAGGCTTCTCCCCCCGCCAGCCTTCCAGCCAAGTCGGGGGGCAGCGGCAAGGGCGCGCTGTGCCTCTCCCGCTGTCCCCCGAGTTTGCGGGGCTGGTGATGGGGAGGAGCAGGCTTCTCCCCCCGCCAGCCTTCCAGCCAAGTCGGGGGCAGCGGCAAGGGCGCGCTGTGTTTCTCCGCTGTCCCGGACGGCTTTCAAAAGCCTGCCTTCAAAAGCCGTCCGGGACAGTGGAGAAACGCGCTGCCTTTCTCCGCTCTCCCGGGAAGGCAGGCAGGGGGGAGCAAAGACTTTCGCCCCCGCCCACCTTCAGAAGAGGTCCAGGACCTCTTCTGAAGGCGGGCGGGGGGCGAAAATCTTTGTCCCCCCTGCCTGCCTTCCCAGGGGCTTTTAAATCGCCCCGGACAGCGGAGAATTTAATTCGTTCCGCAAGTCTCTTCGTCTTGCAAGTTTTTCGTCTTGCGATGCACGGTTTCCCATAGGAATGCATTGAAAATCAATTAATGCGTTCCTAGGGAAACCGCCTTCAGACCAGGTCCGGGGACAGTCTGTCCCCCGACCTCTTCTGAAGGCTGGGGGGGGACAAGGGCTTTTCTTCCCACCCCCAGCATTTTAAAAAACCCCGGGACAGCGGAGGACTTCTCCGCTGTCCGGGGCAATCTTAAAATGCTGGCGGGCGGCATTTTAAAATCGCCCGGGACAGCGGAGGACTTCTCCGCTGTCCGGGGCGATTTAAAAGCCCCTGGGAAGGCAGGCAGGGGGGACAAAGATTTTCGCCCCCCGCCCGCCTTCAGAAGAGGTCCTGGACCTCTTCTGAAGGTGGGCGGGGGCGAAAGTCTTTGCTCCCCCCTGTCTGCCTTCCCGGGAGAGCGGAGAAAGGCAGCGCGTTTCTCCACTGTCCCGGACGGCTTTTGAAGGCAGGCTTTTGAAAGCCGTCCGGGACAGCGGAGAAACGCAGCGCGCCCTTGCCGCTGCCCCCCGACTTGGCTGGAAGGCTGGCGGGGGGAGAAGCCTGCTCCTCCCCATCGCCAGCCCCGCAAACTCGGGGGACAGCGGGAGAGGCACAGCGCGCCCTTGCCGCTGCCCCCGACTTGGCTGGAAGGCTGGCGGGGGGAGAAGCCTGCTCCTCCCCATCGCCAGCCTCGCAAACTCGGGGGACAGCGGGAGAGGCACAGCGCGCCCTTGCCGCTGCCCCCCGACTTGGCTGGAAGGCTGGCGGGGGAGAAGCCTGCTCCTCCCCATCGCCAGCCCTGCAAACTCGGGGGACAGCGGGAGAGGCGCAGCGCGCCCTTGCCGCTGCCCCCCGACTTGGCTGGAAGGCTGGCGGGGGGAGAAGCCTGCTCCTCCCCATCGCCAGCCCCGCAAACTCGGGGGACAGCGGGAGAGGCACAGCGCGCCCTTGCCGCTGCCCCCCGACTTGGCTGGAAGGCTGGCGGGGGGAGAAGCCTGCTCCTCCCCATCGCCAGCCCTGCAAACTCGGGGGACAGCGGGAGAGGCGCAGCGCGCCATCCCGCTGTCTCCCGACATGGTTTGGAGGCTGGCGGAGGGCTTCCTCCTCCCCCAGCCCCGCAAGCTCCCAGAGCGATGCCAAAGCTGCACGCAGCTTCGGCATGGCTCTGGGTCCCGTTCTGGGGGAGGGGGAAGCTCGGGCTTCCCCCGCCCCAGCCCCACGCCTGGCGGTGGGGGAATAATTCCCCCCCCCTTTATTTCCCCCCCCGCCAATTTTTCCCGCGGCACACCAGGCAACGTCTGGCGGCACACTAGTGTGCCGCGGAACACCGGTTGGGAAACACTGCTCTAAACGTCACTAGATAAGGAACAATTTGCACTGTAATCTGATAAGTCACCAGGTGAGCTGTTCTCTGGGAGTGTGTTATTTCATTCCACATAACACATGCAGCATGGCTGTGGATGTGCAGAGCTAGCTCACCTTGCTGATAGCCATGTTTCACTTCCTCACAACCAGAAAAAGTGTGACCCACCAAAACAAATGGAGCAATGTACTGAAGGACACACAAACGTAACCTTATTAGAACGCCTAATGTAATGGGTGCAATAGATTTAGCCAGATCAGCTTGCACGTAATTGATTCAGCACAGCATAGCATATCTCTATGCTTTCTTAATACACAGCAAATAATAAATCTGTATGAATTATTCACCCTATTAGAGTGTTATAACTGGAATAATAAGCCCACCATAGCATCAATCAGTTTCTCCCACTTAGGTGTGATGAAGTACAATATTCCATTCCCAGCTCCTGGCAGAGTTACTCCTCTGATGAGTAAGATGATGAGCACTACATAAGGGAATGTAGCAGTGAAGTACACCACCTAAAGAGACCACACATAGACAAAGAATTACTCATTTGGGCAGATCCTATAAGTAGGCTTGCTGTCCATGACAATTCATTACCCAGGCAGAGTTAGTACACAGGCTCATGGGAATGTGAGCAACCTACAGAGTTAATAGGATTATTAAAATGTTGCTATCTATGAAAAACCACAAGCTAATAAAATAGCAAGGTTCTGAGATAACAATAGCAGTATTTATGTGTAGCTGATGTTTTTCCTATTCATGTACCTTATTACTATATGTGACCCTTCAAACCAATGAAAATCAAGGTAGTTTTTCATAAAATGTGGTGCTCTGTCAGCAGGCACAGCAGCCATTTATTTAAGATCCCATCTCTCTCTATATATACTGATGGTTGTGCTTGATTCTGCTTCCCCAGTTGCTGCCCTTTGGTAAAAGGACCATCTAATTCAAGGGAGGGGAGCCTCACTCAGATCCAGGGGGCAAAAGGAACCCTCCAGGCCTCTCCCTCCAGCCCTTGTAACTTTCTCCAGGCCACACCGCTCTCTGACCTTGAGTGGTTTTGCCTGGCTAGATTTTGTCCTTGAACGCCTGGCTCAGTGGAGGACAGGAAAGGGTGTTTGAGCATGTGTGAAAACTAGCCTGATCTACAAAGATCAAAATGACACTAATTGCTCCAGCGAATTGCGGTTGCCCAGAAGTGAATGTTGCAGTTGGGCTGAAAAATGTTTCCTTTCCCTCTGATCTAAAGTATTTCATCCACGTTAGCTACTGTTACATCGTGGTTAGCACTCCTGCAGGTGAGGTGGGCATTACCTGCATGCTTGTGAAAAAAGGGAGGGATCTAAGCCTGGAGCAGGGACCCTAGTCAGAGGGAACTAGAGCTTACCAAAGATTGGCCAAGGTGTTCTGAGCCCAGCATGGTAAGTCTGCTGTTGAAGTAAAGGGGGATTGAGAAAGGAGAGGGAGAGGTGTATAGATAGCCCTTTCTTTATGACCCAGCAGCTAACTACAGAACCTTGCTTCTTGTGCATTGGGGACAGAGCTTCCCTGCAGAGGGAGCAGTCAAGTGAGCTGGAAAAGAATTACCGTAATGTGTGGGAAGATAAAAAGAGGAGAGGGAGAGGGAGCTGAGGCTGAGCCCTAAACAAGGCTAGTTCTACCATTCTAGGACTCTCTTTTCAGTACAGTTGGGATATCTTTGAAATCTATTTACTTTTTTCATTTAATGATGTTCCCAACTCATTTGTTATGTGCCCTCACATTTTAAAATAGAGCAGCTTTATAATCAAGCTGCTCAGCCTCATGCATGCTTACGCAGAAGTCATTTTATTAGAGAATTAATCTTTATAAAGTTTGTAGGGGGGACACTAATATTTTAATTACCTTTAGGACAATGTTGAAAAAAGATATTATCTATCTTCCTGAACTGAAGAAAGGTAATCGTGTTTAAGAGAACTAAACTTGAAGGCGATATGATATATTTTGTCTTGTTTTCCATACTGTACAAACTCATTAATTTTATTCCATTGCTATTTTTAGCCTCACAGAACATTGTAAAAACCTGAAAACCCTCCTATGAAGAGGGGATAGTTGAGCAAGTGTATACAGGCTGGGCAATGATGCTTCTGAGGTATTCAGTGAAGTACTTCTGCTAGCACAAGGATTTCCACTTGCACAACATAGCTTCCTTCTCTTCTCCCTGCATGCCCCAGATCCTCCCCAAATCTGCTCTGGAGGTTGTGAACTCCCAACATGGGTTTAACAGGGCTTTGGGGAGACATTCAGAGAGAGGAGAAGGAATGGAAGTTCCATTGTGCAGCTAAATGTCCTTGCCCCAGTGTAAGCACTTTGTTGGGTAGTCCAGCCAGCTGCTGCATCCCTTGTCTTTGGAATGCATATTTTGATAAAATGAATTAATCATACTTTACAGGACTCTTTCCATTCACCTTTTAGGATGCAACCCAATATCAATACTGAAAGCACAAGGAATGAGGATCCCAAATTTGAAAAATAGAGCAAATAATCATATCAATGAAACTTTTCTTCAGCTACCATGCAAGAGGATATGTGCTACGCTGCTTTCACATTTATCAACAAACTATTCAGTAGTTTGGTAATACTTAGTCCTTCAGTCATACAATATATCACTGAGTTCTGGCTCTGAACAGTCTAAAGAAAGATGCTCTCTTACTTTTCCTGATGTCTTTATTCCTTTAGCCAGGGAAGCATAGACAATCGCCCAAGCCAGAAAGAGAGAGAGTGCCAAAGGCCACCTGATTTCACCAGGATATTCGATTCCTGCAGAAATCTTCAATACAAAGTACCTGAGAATCAAAATGCCAATGTGAGTCATTACAGGCCCAATCCCTCCGGCGTTTACTTTTGTAATGTCAAATACACACACACAGCTTTATTGCAGTCCATAGACCCAAATTACACAGACTAACAATGGTATAAATATCAATAGTTATTAAGGCATAAGAGCGTCCTCGCTAGCCAACAGAGGTGCCTTAGGCCATACATACTGATTTCTGATACTTACTGCCTCCGAGAGAAATTTTGCTACACCCAGTGTAATAGTATCAGTCTTATCCTCAAGGAGAACCGTAACATAAAAGGAATAAGCAATTCCAGGTTGTTCTGTTAATATTGGTTTGATTAGATGCTATCTAACCTGTTTATACAGACTACAGTGTAATAAAATGTGTTTCATACATTCAGCATCCTGGGAACTTGGGCACAGCCTATCTTGGTATGGGATGCCAGCCAATCTTCCACTCAACACTTTGGATGGGAAAACTTTTAATCTGGCTTTAGAAACTAGACAGTGATAGTTTGGTACAGTCAGTTTCTTAAAGTAGGGAGCTGACAAAAAAACGAAACCCTGCATATATCGGATTCCTAACACAGATGGGCCACAGGTCACATATGAGCAAGATCGTAAATCACTGAGGGCAACATCCCAAAACCTCTTTCAAATATAACTGTAGTTGTGATAACCACATCCCAGCCCTCCCCATCCTATCTGGCGAAGGGAAGATCTGGTCACAACAGAGTGTACCCCTCTCTTGTGCCCTCCCTTTCCCTGTTTGAGGTACGTGCCAGCATCAAATAAGAGATTAATTATTTAACAGGCTGACGCTTATCAAATAGCCTCAAAAAGTTCCCTAGGGTCTCTCTGAAGTTTCCTTAGTGTGGTTAAAACTATAGGTATGAGAGTATTTGAAATAATCTGAGACAACACAGGGTTTATAAAACAATAATTGAGTTTACGAAGATAAAAGAGAGACTGCCATAATTTTTGTGGTGCTTTCACTCTGACCACTATCCTATGAGGCACGTCTACCAGGACTTGACATGATGGCAGCTTTAGGGAAGAGATACCAAAAGATTATGTGGTGGGACGTGAACCCAGATCCAAATCACATTCAAACCTCAGGACATCTACCTCCTGAATGCCAAAACAATGTACTATTTTCCTGGCACTTGTTTTGAAATGCCATCAAATTGCTTCTGTCTCTGTAGCAGGAGCAATTAACTCATTAGTCAAGTCCCAATATATGAAAGACATATCTAAATGACTGGCATAAACACTCAACTAATGAACAGCAGAGAAAGAACCTACAGACAATGTAATTACAATTTTTTCATTCCGTTAATAATTTCATGCATTACCCTGTGACTTTCAGATGGAGATTTGTTTTAAAATTGTTCCAAAACGTGTGTGTGTTTTGTTTTTGTTTTTTTAAATCTTACTTGAAGTACTCTTCACTGCCACTGACAAAAGTTTTGTTGACATGGCTGGTATAGTTTACCATTGTCAAGTTTGGATAGGCACTCATACAGAAAGTAGAGTTCTTTATTTGTAATTTGGGGTGGTCACCAATGATGCAGGAATCTGAAAAAAACACAAGTCAAAAGAGAAATTACTGAGCTAAAATTCATCTAAAAACTTGGGAAAAAACAATTAACAAATAACAGCTTGCATTGAAGTACATTTCATTTGAGCATTGAAAATTAATTAGGTTCCTCTACCTGGTTGAACAAAGGCAAACTATCCTCCTTTCAACATTAATCACATTTGAGCCTTCCTTTTCATTGATGAGTCTAGTCCATGCATCCTCAAACTCGGCCCTCCAGATGTTTTGAGACTGCAATTCCCATCATCCCGGACCACTGGTCCTGCTAGCTAGGGATCATGGGAGTTGTAGGCCACAAACATCTGGAGGGCCAAGTTTGAGGAGGCCTGGTCTAGTCCATCTTGGCCTCTTGTTGGGCAGGACTTCTGGCAATTTGTTGTGCCCATGCAAAAGCCCCAAACCCACAGAACGAGCTCATAGCTCCAAATGTGGGTGCAAGTCTCAGTTTTAGAGACAGGTAAATGGGGCTTGCTAGTCTTACCCACACTCAGGCTTGTGTGATCATTGCTGCGATGCAACCTCTGCTTGCAATCTACTGTGATCTGTAGACTATTAGCTACTCATTTGTGGCTCCCTGAGTGGTTATTTCATACTGTGCATTTAATGAACTGTTTTCCTCCTACTCAGTTTCTCTGGACATTTAAAAACAATGAACAGCAAAATAAATACAAGTTCACTAAGTGAAACATTGCTTTTATACATGTTGCTTGCAAGGCTTGTAAATCCAAAGTCAATTTGTAACTTATATTTGACTGCTGCAGATTTGTGCATTTGAACTGAAATTCTGGTTTTAAAGCTATTATTTGATTTTAATAAATGTATACGCCAATTTTCCATCTGAAGATGCCCAAGGCAGGTAACGATAAGATATAATCTGTTTTCTATTAAGGAACACTTAAAAATATATATCCAGGGATGTTTCCAAAGCCAAACCAGTATGAACTATGTGCAATCCTACTGTGAAGCGGTGTCTAATGGGAGGAATGGAGAAATGTAGGTGGACATTTTCCATGCTATTGCTTCAGCACTAAACTGGAAGTGTACAAAACACAGTTGGAAAGAAAGAACAAACTAATATCCTGCCATAAGGTTTTAACCCATCGGTACTGACTTGATCTGTCCTGTGGATCAGGAACATAGTTGACCCAGAGCAAACTGAAACCCCCATGCCTGAATCATACAGTAGATCCATACAAGGATCATACAGTAGATTTGTCCTCCCCATTGGGCCATCTTTAGGCAGGAACAGCCAATTTCCTGGCATTAAGGACTCATGAACTTTAACAGTTGTGCGTTTCATCAGGTAAAATATGTCAGAGAAAGCTAAGGTAGAGGTGTCCTAACGCATACAAAGCATACATACAAAGCAACCACACAGTCTAAGAAAAATAAGGCATAGAAAACTGGTGCGGTGCTCTGAATGTAAAATGAGATAATGAATTTTGTTTTTTTGACTAGAGCCAACAAGCATTTAGAGGAGGGATTAAGCATTTAAATGTGCCAGTCACTTGTTACATTTCAAACTTTACAGTGGAACCTCATGTTGCGTACCATCCTCCTTACGGTATGTTTTGGGTTACGGGCTTCGCTAACCCGGAAGTAGATGCTCCCAGATGTGAACTTTGCCCCGGGATGTGAGCAGAAGTCGCACTTCGGCGGCACAGCAGCAGTGGGAGGCGCCATTAGCAAAAGCACGCCTCGGGTTATGAATGATTTCCGGTTATGAACGGACCTCTGGAACGAATTAAGTTCGTAACCAGAGGTAGCACTGTATTAAATTTTTCTATTGAAATGTCACTTCAGGACATACTTCTGAAAGTCTTCAGTCTGAGCAGTATAATATTGTAGATGTCTACTGAGACGTCAGTTCTACAGAAATTGATTGGGCTTACTGCAAGCCAAGCCTTGTCCGATGTATTTCAAGCATGGGAGTTAAATATTAAATTGTCAATATTTTCAGTAAAGCTACTACACCCAGCAATATCCATATGGAGATCACTACTCACATTCCCAGGAAGAACTTAAATTTGCAGCTCTGAAATCAAGTTCTAATGAGGAGAATTGACTTTTGAGTTCAGAAATTTGTTTCAGCTCGAGCCTTGGTTGTATGTGGAGGCCAGACTGTGATTAGGCTTGATCCAAAGCTTCTGATTTATGACTAATACATCAGCTATGACTTGCAGCAATATTTATCCTGAACAGAAGTTTTCTGGTTACAAGGTGCATTTTAGGTGCATTAGGACAATCCTCATGTGCACCTAAAGACAGCAAAGATCTTGAGAACATAATCAGCGTATTAAGAGAGTGGTATTTAAATTGCTCAGATTTAATTATTATCCACAGAAATGAGTGCAGTCTCCTAACTCTCTCCGCTTAATCTGAAGCCATGCCTTTCTGCTAATTGACAAAAGCACATTGTTGCTTTTGAAATTCTCTCTTAAAAGTCAGTGAAGGCTACTAGTGATGCAAGAAGCATAAAACAGGAAAAGAAATAATTGCTGTCAAACGATCCCTTTGTATGTCCCCTTGTTCTATTAATCTTTTAATGTTCTATCAATGTTCTATTAAACTGTGCTATTGCAAGCTTCCAACTTCGTGCAACCGCAGTACTGTATTTTTGGAAAGGAAAGCATTATGCCCCACGTCGGCCAGCAGAGGGGGTAGTGGTATGTTATCCACCCATTCTCTCATTTTCTGCACATCTCTAGATTTAGTTGAATATTACTGAGGAGTTGGTACTGTGTGTACCCGGTACCATGTGTCTCATTGTCTGGTCCTTTCAATCAAATGCTTATGGAAAATAATATAATTCTAATTCTAAGGCCATAACAATCCAATACAGAATTAGTTGTAAAGCCCATTGAAAATGGCTTTTGTGTGTTGCTAACTCTGTGTTTAACTGCAGGATTTGCAATAAGGATTCCACACTAATAAATATAGATATAAGAAAATAGCTTGGGGCTGTTTTGTTTTGTTTTTAAAGTGGGACATACCCCAAATTTGGAATAACTATTGCTTTTTAAATACCCTTTTCAATATTGTGTAGCTAGTTATGAAAGCTACTGAAATAAAAGGCACCCCCCCCCGCAAAAAAAATGTTATTTCTCCTACAAAAGTCTTTGTGACCTTCCAAATGAATAAATATATGTTACAAATATGTTAGATTGAGACTCCCCCCCCCCTTTTGCTTCCCAAATGCTCCTATGCTGTGCTGCTGCAAAGACAGAACACACACAAAATCATATTTACATAAGGGTAGTAATATTCCAAATGTATTCAGAAGAACACTTTTGGAAGACTTAATTGTGCAAAAATATTATCGCACATCTTCTCTGCTGAAAAATAAAACCTGCTTATAGTGCAGTCCTACGCATGTCTATTCAGAGATAACCTGCACGGAGAATCTTGGATACAAGACTGCAGCCTTAACAATGTTGTATTTCTGAGAGGCAGTTCTGACATCAGTAGAACAGAACATGTTCACCTGTATATGCTGGGTTGGTTTTGCCTTGTTTAAAGTGTATAGAGGCATGAGTGGATCAGAAGATGACACGTAAGGTCACTTTTGCTGCACTGCAGCAAGCTTTTTTTTTTAGAAAAAAAACACAGCTTCGCTTTGTAGAGCTGTTGGTTTCCCTGCACCAGACGATCCTGATCAGCAGAGGGCGCAATCACTTTGCAGCAGAGGACAAACAAATCCTCGCATGCAGTGCTATCCATCAAACCTTGGACGCTAGGCAGAAAATAATAACTACACCGAACCAGAAGGTGCTAGCATGAAATTACATTTACATGGACAATTGCTAATAAGTAAAAGCATCCATTTGTAATCTAGGGGAAAGGACGGCCCAACTGTGCTTGTTTTGAAGGGGGGGAAATGTTTAGACACACATCATTCTAGCCTTCAGATATTTATGAAGACTCCGGGGGAAATCAAAACGTTAACAAGACTGCAGTCTCATGTGTCCCATCGAAATCAGTGGATGACAAAATATATTTCTGAGTAAGCATGTTCAGGACAGGAGAGCACATCTGAAAAACAGAACAAGTTGAGCAGCATCTCATCTCACTAGAACAGATCTCCATCTATAGCTTTACATCTTTGCCCTTTAAGATCGTTTTTTGCCTCTGCAATAAATATAAGAGAATCCAGAAAACTCAGTGTGCTCTGCACAAAACCAGACAACCTTTATTCCCTTTGGGCACTGCTTGATCACTCTTGGTTTCAGATACAGAGGGGTGTGCGGGTGTGTTTCAACTCCCTGCATATTTCTAGAAATGCCCAAATTGCTAAAAATGAAAAAGGCAGCCAAATCAGCTTTTCTCTCTTTTTTCTTTTGCCTGATTATTAAGGAACTCGTTTTTCTTTTGTTAGAGAAAGCCAGGCATGCTGAAGGATGGGTAATCACCTGTAATTTACGCATCTTGTCAGCACTGATGGAAACTCTTTAAATGGATGCCTGTGCAAGCCTGCAGACATCACACCACTGAAGAGATTGAAAATATCCTATGGCCGATCTAACCCAGTGTCCTGTCCCTGATAGTGGTAAGCATTGGCTTTTGAAGATGAAGTGAAAAACTGCACAGTGAATTGCAAAGCAATGATTCAGTTGCATGCTCTGCAAATGTTACGAAATCAGCTATGCGGACAGATGGCTCATCCATACATTTAAAGTGGGCAGTAAACTTCCTGTACCTCCTTTAATTCTTCATTGTCCATATGGCTTTCTCCTTAAAATCACTGCATTCCCACATTTCCCCCTCCCTCCAGATTTTCTCGTACCCTCTCCTTTTCAGAGTATCCCTGGTATGATACAAGCATGGCTGAGTGAAGAGAGCGTGTGTGAAGGCTGTGATTTGGCAAGGAGGTTGTGTGGACAATGGAGAATCAAGGGAGGGACAGGAGCCCTACTGTCCCTTTAAACAGTACAGTGGTACCTCGGGTTAAGTACTTAATTTGTTCCGGAGGTCCGTTCTT